ACGGAGCTCAGATGCCTGAGACAGGGTCCTCACTGTCAGTCTGACGGCCCTGCAGAGCCCGAAGGACAGTGTCCTCCTCCAGGGCGTCCCTGCCCCAGCTGGACCGACCTGGGCCCTTCAGCATTTTGCTGGGGCTGGTTTCAGATCTGCACCCTCTTGCTGTCTTGCTGGGATCCAGCTTCCAGGTTCCTGGGCAGGCGTGGTCTGATCAGCTGGGAGCCCTTCAAAGCACAGGGTAGAGTGGTGAAGGCCTCTGGGTGTGGGAGCAGGGGGTGGGTATCTGGCCCTGGGTGGTCTGGGATGCCCCACTAGAAGGAATTTAACTCTTCAGTGCCCTAGCTTTTAGAGAGAGGACAGCTCAAACTGAGCTAGGCCTAATTCTGGTGAGTAGGATGGGAGTAGGGAGGTGGGGGCAGAATGGGGAGGGACAAGTCAATACATGCGTGGGTCCTGGTCTTGTGCTGTAACAAAAATGTCAGCCCCATAAAAACAGGACCTTGTTTGCCTCATTCCCTGCTCAGAGCCTACAACAGGGCTTAGCATAGAGAAGGAGCTCTGTAAATGTTTGTTGACTGACTGATTGAGCAACTGACTGAATGAATAAATGAATGAAATATTTGTTGAATGAAAGAACCAGGATTTCTTCTCCCTTTTCTCTCTTCTTCTGATGGAGCACTCTCTCTGTTGTTCCTGAGGAATGTTCTGGAGACAGAATGACCCTCCTCTCATATATCCTGGGCAGTCTTCAGTTAGGCACTGAGTGGTACTGGGGGGAGGGAGGGGAGGTCCCCCTGCCCTTGGGGACAGCATTTTCACACTGTAGGTCATAGGTAAAATCAGTTTTGTGTACCGCAATTGGCAAAAACAAAAAGAAACAGGACAGGATAGACTAGAAAGGATCAGAATGCATCACACACAGAAGGCTAAGCATTTTGTTGTGGCACACACACATTTTCATGGCTCTGGGTAGCTGGTGGTCCCAATGTAAAACGTATTTCTTACTTCGAGTCTCAGTCACCAAAATTGGAATCCGATGTGTGAATTTCAGTCATGGTAGATCTTATTCTTGAACCTAGACGTGGAAGAGTATAAGCAATAAAATTAATGATCCTGCTGATAAGTATGATGCCAATTATTGAACATGTGTCCCATGCCAGGTAAGGGTGCTCAGGTCTAGGGCCCTGCACAGAGGTGAGGGGGAAAGAATCCAGAGCAGACAGAGATCCTGTTAGCAGGGAAGACTGCCTGGAGGAGGTAGAACGTGACCTCGGCCTTGAAGAACCCCTCTGCCCTGGCAGGTTCAGGGCTGGGTCAGAGTGCAAGCTCGGGTGGCACTAATAGGAACGCTAGAAAGAGGTGCCATCGGTGAGCTCTGGCTGAGTGCCAGGCACCCCTTCATTCCTCCAGACACTCCTGGGAGGCAGGAACCACTCACATCATTTTACAAATGAGGAAAATGAGACTCGAAAAATGTGGGGGCTTTTAGGGTAGGGAACGTTATGGAGGCTAGATCCAGGGCAAGTCTGCCCTGCTCAGAGCCCGCGTCTGTATAAGGCCTGGGCCATACATGGGAGGGGCTTGAACAGAAGGGGGGTGCTGGGTCCTGGAGATGGGGCAGTGGGCCTGGAAGGCCAGGCAGGTGCAGCAGGACCCCAGATAGCCAGGGCAGGTGGGAAATGGTCTAGGCTGGGACTCAGACAGCAGCTGTGATCACCTGAGGCTCAGAGGCTACCTGGCTCAGGGGAAAGACCGCAGACTCCAAGACACCCACTCAGCCTGGAGGGCCCACGTAGGTCCCAGGTCTCGACCAAAGCAGTGCCCTGGGGAGCAAGGCTAGGTCGGCTCCCTGCTCTGACTCTGTCCTTGTCTCGGGCCCAGCTTCCTACGGCCTGTGGTGGGCTTGGCAGGGAGCAAGAAGCAGAGAAGAGCAGGAGGGCCTGTTTCTCATCTTTCATCAAGTCTCATCTTTGCTAGTTTGAACTCAGCTCCTCTGCTTTCCGGCGAGTCATTTGTGCCTGTCAAGGAAATAATTCTTGGCTCTAGTGTTCCCATGAGGGAACTGGGGTTCCCGCAGCTTATGTTTCTGGGCAGGGACTGGACGTGGGAGTTCTCTTCCAAGAGAACCAGCACCTGGCTTGCTTGGGCAGAGGGGGCTGTGGAGGCCACAGACAATCCTGGAAGTGTGACTAGTGGGGTTATTGGCTATTCTGTGTAGCTTTGGGCTGCGATAGGTTGGTTTGTGTGTGTGCGACACATATTCACGTGTATACACATGCTCACTTGTGTGTCCACTTCACGCCCGTTGGACACTTGGGCCCACGTGCCTACCCTTATTCACACCCCTGCAAACATGAGCTCACACATGAGGAACACAAGCACCTATGTATGCACACACAAGTGCACACATTTGTACAGGGCCATCCGTGGGGCCCCGGCATCCTTTAGATGATGACGTGATGTCTTGGGTGCCATATGTACGTGTCGAATGTGGGGTGGTCATAGTGCTGGTGGGGGTGCCATAAGAGTGGGTGTAGGTCCGGAGCCTTCTGGTTTTTGAAGTCCTGTTCTGGGACCATTCATCCCTTTCTAGGGACTTTTGGCCTTCTGCTCTGAGCTTCCAGATCTCTTAGGAAGCTTCTGGGGCAGTTTGGGCTGAAAGAGTTGGCACAAGGGATTCTTCCCTCCTGCTTCGGGCCGGGGAGAGAGCAGAGTGTCTTCTCTTGGTCATACTTAGGGCCGCTCTGTGTCCCTTCCTTCTTCTCTCCCTCAGTATTCAGCTCTCTTTCCCTCCCAGGCCCAGGGTGGGGCACATCTGGTCCTGAGCCTTTCTTGTGGTTGGGGGGTACTCCTAGCCCCAAGACCAGCAGGGACTTGGCAGAACTTCAGGAGCTGGGGGTGGGCTGGTGAGGCGGGGCACTGTGGTCTAGATGGAGTGTCTGGGGTGACCCTGAAACACCTGAGGCCTCCAGTCCTTTACTTCTGGGGTCTACCAGCTGAGCCTTGGGGCTGTGCGTCGGAGCTAGAAGGGCTGTGATTGCTGGCTCTCCTGGGGACACCTCTACCCTAGGCTTTTCTGCTTGATTCAACAAGAACACCTACTGTGTGCATGGTGACTACAAATGCAGGAGTTTGGTACTGCTCTGGGGACCAAAAGACAGGTCAGAGTCAGAATTTTGTCTTCCAGGAGCTCCGTCTTAGAGGAATAGATGCAGACACAGCCCCCGGCATCTGCTGGACAGTGAGGGAGGGGGAGAAGCATGTATGCACACGTGTGTATTTGTGTGCGTGTGCATGTGTGTGTGTGTGCGTGCTCATGCTAGCGCGGGGGCACGCACGCTTACTTTAGCCCCCGGCCTCAAGGGGGGCAGTACCCAGGAATGCAGCAGCCTCAGGATGGCAGGCAGAGGCATCAGTGGGGCATCTGGCAGGGGATGGGGTGAATTATGGGGTTGTGGCAAGAGGAGGAAGGAAGGGAATGGCGCCCAAGGATGGAGCCTACCATGGGCAGCGTTCTAGCCCCAAGCATTAGGCACCCCAGCTCTCTGGCTTTTCAAGACCTCCTTGAAGGCGGACAGACCAGCTTATGGATGAGGAACTTGGGGATCAGAGAGCTTATGTCACGTTTCCCACACCACACAGCCCGTAGACTGCGAGCCAGTCTGAGTCTCGCTTTGCCGGACTCTGAAGGCGGTCAGGAGTGCTTCCCCAGCGGCTCCTGGACTTCCTCTGCCCTTCTTCTGGCACATCTTGGGTGGGGCAGAGGCAAGCCTGGAGCGGAAGGCAAGTCTTCCCTGGGCCTCAGTTTCCCCACCCACTAAAGTAGGGGTAATAACAGTACTTTTTCATAAACTCATCTAGGTGAATGAAGCATTTGAAACCTAGGTGCTGGAGACCTGATAAGAGAACCACAGACGACAACCATTCCTTTTGTCCTCATTTATTCCCAGGGCTGACGGGGGGTGGGGGGGGGGCATGCGTGCCCCTCTTCCAGCCCGTCGCCCTCTGGCCAGCGCTGCCTCCTTCCTGGGGAGATCCGGCTCCCCCACCTCCCTCTCCAGCCCTGAGTGGGGGCGAGACAGGTAGTGACAGGTGGGAAGAAGGATTTCCCGAGTGTGGAGAGAGGGAGGAAGTGACTCGCTAACCACAACAAAGCCAGTCTCCCGGAGAGGAAGCGGCGGCGAGAGAGTGAAGGCACGTGGGCGCCGGCGGGGGCGTGCGAGCCACCGGCCCGCGTGGGCTGCCGGGGCGTGGGGACCGGGAGCCGGGCATCCAAGGGGCGGGGATTGGGCGTGTCACCGCCGGCACTCAGGGGATGGGGGCAGAGGGTCCCCTCCCCTTCCGAAGTTTCTGCCTCGCGCTTCCCTTTAAGCCTCAGGGCTGAGGGGCGTCCAGGGCTTGGGAGGAGCCCAGGACTGAGCGGACAGTCGGCTCTGTGCCCGTGGACACTGGAGTGGCTGAGGCCCAGACAGGGCAATCGCCCAGCTCAGGTTGCACAGCACACTGAAGCATTTATTCAGGCTCCGATGCTCCTCTGGGTCCCGCCGAGGCACGGCCGGGCTTTAAAAAAGCAGAGAGGGGCGAAGGAAGCCCTGGCCCGCGGATCTCCCGGGAAGCCGGAGTCTGGGAGGGGGTGTGGCGCCGAGAGCATTGGCTTCTTTCTCCAGCCAGGCTGGATGGAGGGTTTGGGCATCTTCCAGAAGGAGCCGAGCTAATGACAAGGGAAGAGGAATTGGCTTCTCAGGCAGTCTCCCCCGCCCCAAACTTTTCCTCCCGGCGGAGGGTGGGCGGGCAGAGGGAGGAAGCGGGGCCGGAGAAGGTGGGGCCAGGCTTTCCCTCTCCGCCCCGGAGTCGCGGCTCTGGGATGCCAATCCGGACGCGGCTGGGGTGAGTGTCTCTTTAAATCCGAGCCCCCCGCCCCCTCGGCGGTTGGGGCGGGGGCTCAGGCGGGCCAGGGGCGGGCGCGGTGATTGGCGGCCCGCCCGGGTCCGCCCCTCGGCGTGGGGGGCGCGGGGCGCCGAGCTGCGCGCTGGGGCTGGGGCGCACATCTTCCACCACCGACGAGCGCGGGCTGCGGTTCTCCTGGCCTCGGCTGGTTGCGCCCGGCCTGCCCGCCTCCGGAGCCGCCTCTGCCCACGGATGGGCTGGGGAAGTGGGGAGGAGCGAGCCGGAGCCCGCGCGGGGCGCGCCCAGCCGCTGCCTGACTCGGCGCCCGCAGTCCGGGCGCAGCGCGCCAGCCGCAGGAGCGCGGATGCCCCCCGGAGCCGCGGGCTGGCAGGTATCGACGCGTCCGGACCCGGAGCTGGCGATGGGAGGGCAGCTCCGGAGTCCCCTGGGCACCCCCTTGCCCGGGGCGGCTGAGACCACCCACTCCCCATCCCCGGCTGTGCACGCCTCCTGGGCTCCGGGAGAGGAGAGGTTCTGGGCTCCCATCCAAACCTGCACGGTATTGGTGCCTGGGAGAGAAGCGGGACCTCAATAAAGAGTGGGCGGTTATTGAGTCGTTTGCCGGGTGCTGGGCTGTCTCCTCCCCCAAGGTTTCCCTCGCACTGGGGTAAACGTGGGCTGGCGGCACCTCCACTCTTCGGGGCTAGGCCCGGGGCGGGGCCCCCGGAGCCAGGCTCACTGAGCAGTTGGGAGGAGGGAAGCCATCTCATGATCCACACATGGGGTCCCTGGGCTCATCTTTAACGGGCTTGAGGCCCATGGGACTGGTTGGAGTTATGAGGTCCCAGTGGGCTCAAGCTTTGATTCTGAGCCCCTCTGGCTCTGTCCCTCTGCAGGCTTGGGTCTCCTGGGAGAGTCCCTTTTCATCTTCAGAGTTTTTTCCTGAAGAGTCAGTGACTTGTCAGAAAGCAGAGTGGGGTGTGGGAGAGCCGCTGCACCTGCCTCTAAAGTGGCCAGGATGATTGGAACCTGTTCTTATCTCTTGGGGAGTCAGAGATGGAAGAAAGTGTCCTGGCTTCAGGAAGCTTCTGGGATTTTTTACTCTCCCAACCAAAGGTCTAGGCACCAACTCCTTGGCTTCTGTGCAGAGCAGCTGGACCCGGTGACTGGGCACCTCTTAAATGTCACGCCCCCGGCTCTGCTGGGGAGGATGGGAGTGTGGGAGGACTCGGGGGGTGCTGTCCTCAGGTGGCTCAGCCCTATGGGGAATGCAAGACAAATATACAGAAAGTCTGTTGATACAGGCTTCCCATACCAGTCCCGGACTAATAATAGTGGAAATGCCAAGAGGCTCCACGTGATTAATTGCTAAATGAGTGATGTAGGCTGCCATCGCTGGGGGGGCTGGAATCCCATTCTCAGGCAATCATATGCATATGTTTAAATCTATTTAAAATGTTCCAGCACCATACCCCTCCCCTCCCTGTTATCCTGCTCCTAGTGAGGACCTCTCCACCTCCATGGACCGGGAGCCGCAGGAGGATTCAGGAGATTCTCTTGCTTGTATGCGCCCCCAGCCCCACTCTCGGGTTTTTTTCCTGCTGGTAGATTTCTGAAGAAACCCATTTGGTTTTTGGAGTCAGGCCAAGCACGGGACTCTCCCAGCTTTCCTGGGGCCTCTGAGGTTTGAGGTCTAGATCCAACGTTATGGGAGGTTCAGAGGCCAGCAGGGAGGAAGTCTTCATTTCATTTCTGAAGAGCCTCTATTGCCAGGGGCTGGGGATGAGGTTGGAAGGCTGGAGGCCCTGAGCCAGGGTTTCCTGTGAGCACAGACAGGCGCTCTCTCCTTTGCCGGCCATCAGGTATTGAAGGTGGCGTGATGGAGGTGGCGGGGGGAGGGTAGGACAGGGTTGGCTTGATGTGGGTGGTCCCGGGGCAGCACTGACCTCACTCTGAGGTTCTGCTATGTCTGGGGGCTCTGCCCCCTCCCCCATCGTCCCTGGCAGGTTTCTGCTTTTCTGGAACACTTTGTGGAGGCAGCATTGTGCTCATGGCCTTGGGCGCTATTCTGGGAGAGGGTGTGCTGAGCTCACCCCACGGCCCGTGGCTGGCATTGTGAGCACTCGTGTGAATACACCCACCCGCCTCCAAGCAGTTGGCACACACAGGGTCACCCGGCCACAGGTGTGCACAGAGATGTGTGCATGCTTGGGTCTGCAGCCGTGTGGGCAGAGACAGGAACTGGATGCAGATGTGAATGAAGACAGGCACAGGAAGGTGACAGAGGTGGGCACGCAACCCAGGGGAACAGATGTGTGAAGGGGCAGACAGCGTGGACACATAAGCGTGGACCACACGTGGGCCACAGACTCTATATAAGCAGATTACGCCTTCACGGGGACTCGAGCCTCCCCACGCAAGAGGCAGATGTGTAAAGGGCAGGCATATGGATGACGAGCATGGATGTGAGCTGCCATTCACAGACAGGAGGTGTGGAGTCACAAGGAAGTAGCTCGAGTACCAGGCAGCCGTGGAGTTGGCTGTGGGCCTGCTGAGTCGCCTGACAGGAAGGCCAGGACATGGACAGAGGTGGGTTCCAAGATGGAGTCTGAGGTGTGCACTAAGTTATCCTTGTGACTCTGCGCGGTAGCAGGAAATTGTCCCATTTAGGGTGGTGGTGGTGCAGGTGATCTGTGGTGTGGCTTTGTTTCTAGGTCCCCACTGGGGTTTGAAGCTCCCAAAAGGCTTAGTATTCTCTCTTTTACTCTGAGACTCATTTGACCTCCCTACTCCCTAAGTTACAGGGCTGGGTGCATGCCCTAAGCACCAGCAGGGGCTCCTTGAACCTTTAAGTCTCATCTTCCTTGGGTTTCCAGAAGTTTCCTGAAGTGAGGCTGTGTGGCCTGGGTAGGGAAGGAACCTGGCTGGGGACTCTCCTTTTGAGCCCAAGCCTGAGGGTCTCTGGCAGGGAAGGGACCATTCTTTTTTTTTTTAAAGTTTATTTTTTTTTTAATAGTAATTTCTACACCCAACATGGGGCTCAAACTCATGACCCTGAGATCAAGAGTCACGGGCTGTACCGACTGAGCCAGCCAGGTGCCTCAGGAAGAGCCAGGGGCCTCAGGAAGAGACCATTCTTAGGGAAGAGAAAAGGCAGACATGCGTGGGGGGGGGGGGTGTCTTTGATGAGACTATTGCCCTCAGGTGCCCCCTCCCCTAAACTCTGGGCTTGGCCAGGGAAGGGGGCCCCCAGTTCTGGCTGTCATCACTTCGGTTCTGCCCAACCTGGAGATTGGGAGCCAGCCCAGAGTCTAGACACAGTTTGACACTAACCCACTGCACGACCCTGGGCAAATTACTTAACGTCTGAATTAATTTACCTTTAGCAGAAAACTCCTCATCTTTAAAATGGGGCCAGTCACCCCCAGCCCCTGAGGGTGTTTTGAGGGTTAAATGGGAGAAAATCAGCGGAAGGCATGTGGCCCAGGGTATGGTACAGAGTGAGTACTGTCTCTGCAGCTTTGATGACGAGCCTTCCCCTGTGGCCAGGACCCCCCAGAGCTGCAGCCAGGGGCCTGGCCAGGCAAGCGGGGCAGGCACGCACCTCTCACTAGAAAGCTGGAGGGCTTTGTCCTCAACCCTTGCCCACCAGCCACTCCATAATCCCGTGGGATCTCCACATGCAGGGTCAGGAAATGGCAGGCAGGGCGTATGGAGGCTTGGGCCTGCTGCCTGCCAGGCCTCTGGGAGGGGAGCCAGTGGTTTGCTAAGAATAGCCCCAGATCATGGCTCTGCGTCCCAGCGGGCAGCCGGGTGCCTCCCTGGTATGGGCCAAGGTGCTTGCCGGCCCTTTGACGTTTTGTAGAGCCGGCACTCAGCACAGGAGTGGGCCTGCAAGCAGCCTCAGTCTGGGAAGAGGCTCTGTTGCTCTTCTTGGGTCTTTGGCTGGGACCTGGGGAAAGAGAAGGCTTGGGAAGAACTGGCCATTCAAATCTCTGAGTTCCTCTTCTATGCAGAGCTTGTCACCTGCTCCCTGACCATCTTCCTACCCGCCAGTGGATCTGTAGCGGCTAAGAACACTGGTTCGGGAACCGTACCACCAGGGTCTGAGTTTCGGGTCCTACTCTCATTAGCTGTGCGCCCCTGGGCAGCTCACTTTTCCTCTCTGTGCCTGATTTCCTAGTGTAGCGCAGGGTTAATGATAGGAAATCCCTTAGAGGGATGTCGCAACCATGAAAGGAGGTGGTGCCTGGAGAGCCCCTGGGTCACATGCGGCTCATAGTAAGTGCTCAGTAAACATCAGATGCTTCTGTGATTACCGTGATGAATGCTTTCTCCACAGAGGGAGAGGTGTGTGAGGCCAGGCTGCTTGCACCGTGCCTCATGGTCCGAAGGCACCAGTGCGCATGCCTCTCGATTGGGGTTCCTGGCCCTGGGTTCAGTATGAGGGGCAGGGGACCAAAGGTGAGTGAGACCGAGTCCCTGCTGGGTGACAGAGGCACATACATACATTGTACCATACCCGACTGGCACCTTCCCGGGGTCTGCGCTAGCTGTGATGGGAGTTGGAGGGAGGGAATGGCCTGCCTGGGGGGTAGGGTGATGCATCAGGTGGGCTTTGAAGGATGGACAAGAATTTCCAAAGGTGAGGGAAGGCTTCCCAAGCAGAAAGAGCAGCCCGTGCAGAGGGGTGACAGCTTGGTGTGTTTAGGAACACGAGCAGATCCATGCACTTGGGGAGGGGACCCACACTTAGCATCTCGCCCTGTCAAGAAAGCCCTTGCATGCTGGGACCTTCTGTTCCTCCCACTCTGGGCTCAGAGGCAGCCCTGGGTTCCCTCAGGACACAAGCTGGAGGCCCACCAGAATTCTGCACCTCTCACTTCCCTTTTAGGAGTCACATTTGCTGTCCCCTCATTCTCCAGAGACCCTTCTGCCTCTTAGAAATGCCTGTCAACCCTCCCTAGGGGCCCTTGTTTTTGAGATGGGGCTCCAGACTGCTCCTGCCCCAGGAACATGCCTATTTTTGCTCTTAGTTAAGATACCCATGCTTTAATAGGTCCCCCATCTTGGGAATGAACTGAAGCCTTTGAAAACTCCTTAGCTTTTCCTAAGGAGTGAATGTCTAACGGTGGAATTCTGGGACCTTGGGAAGTGTTTTATATATTTCCTGTAACTGACATGCGGACTGGCTTTAGCTCTGAAGGGTGTCCCTTCTTGGCTGGGGTACTCTGATGAGAGAGACACAGGGCATCTGGGGTAACCTGCATGCCCAAGGCAGGCAGCAGGGAGCATCTGGGAACTGGGTGTGTCATGCTGACCCTTTGGGCTCCCAGGGAGCTAGGGCTTTTAGAAATTCCAGGAGGGAGGGTGTGGTGCTGGGAGCGCTGT